AGAGCACAGATAGCCCATTGTGTAGCTTTGTGCTTAATTACAAACAAACAAGCAAACTTAGTAGATTACTTCTATCACTACTTTTGTCCCAGTGGTATGCCTTATGGTGTTGATGGAATGATGATTTATTAAAAACCTATTGTTTTGCTCTTAGAAAGTTTGCTGTAATATCTATAGTAAAAAGAAAAAATAATAATGTCTATATATGAGAATGCTTAATTTCTGTAATTACTTGAAATGAAAGAAAGGTAAGTGAATCTCATTAAAAAGAATAAAAACAAGTGCAAGTAGGGCATATAGAGCATTGTTAAATAATGCTTTGATATATATGAGTCCATCTGTATTTCCTATCTAAGGATCATAATCTCCTAGACCCACCACTGGTGGTGTATTTGTTTAATGGTAATTTTCTGTATTGAAGAATGTTTTATTTTTGCATTATTTTTTTTGTAAAAGTTTATTTGTGTGTGTATTACTGTGTAAATACGAATAAGTTTATGATTTTGTTGAAATAAAGATTATTTCTTTGTATTCAACTTGTGTCCACTCTCTTTCTTTGCACCAAACTCAGATGATGTTACAAGAATTCAGATTCTTGGTTAGAAATTCAATTCCTCCTATTTCTCTGCTGTTTCTACCTAATTACTCAACAGGAGCTCAGTGAACCTTAGAATACCCAGTCACACTAGGATATGATCTATATAATAAGCTGTTATAGATATATCCAGCATTTGTATGTAAATGTAATGGTTGGATATACAAAGCTTTTTCTTTTGTGTTTTGTTTTGTGAAAGCAACAATAACTTTATCCCATGTATGGACATAAGATATCTAAGTAAGCCAAATCATTGTAATATTACACAACTTTATCTGAAACATTATCTGAAATTAAGTTTTATTACTAGGCAGAAGAAAAATTTCAAATAAGTAAAGCATGAGAATAATGTTGAATTTAAAACTGTTGTTCAAAATTTCTGACAAAGAAAATTTAAGATCATTTTAATGTAATTTATACTTCATAATTTTTGAAAAAGAAATATAAAGTTGTTAATTTCTTATGTTTAACTTTCCTGAAGTATGTTTGTGAGAATTTAAAGCAGATAATTCATATAGACTTCATTCTTTTGATGAAAATGTTCATGTTTGTACTAGGATCTGTATTAATGTTTTACTCATGTCTGTAAAAGAAATAATATTGATAATTCTTTAAAAGCATTATTCTACTGCCAAGTAGGTTCATCAGGCCTTGGGAGAAAGAGGCGATCTATGTCTCCAGATGGTTGTAAAGCTACTGACAATATTCCTCCTCCTTATCAAGGTTGGCATGAAGATAAGAACAGAAATGAAGCCATAACAGAAGGCAGAACTGACACCATCAAATCACCTCCTCCAAATGCCAAACTGTCTGCTCAAAATGTAAATAAAGGATTGTCTTGCTCTCCAGATGATCAGGTAAAATTTAAAGATTTCATTTGGTTGTAATCATATATTGTGTAGTGTCATATGATCCACTAATGAAATTAAGCTGAAGTTAGTCTATAAATCATGTACAAGTAAACTTTATACTTAAATTTATAATTTAGTCAAAGATCACAGGTCTGCCCAATCTTTAAAAACGTTTACAATGAGAAAAAAGAACTAGACACTCATGTACAAATAAAAACAAGAAAATACTCCTTAAACTAATGACAAAAAATTTATCCTTTAAACATTATCAAATTAAGCATAAGAGTTATCACAATGAATAAAATGTATACTAACAGATCTCTATGGCTGTTCTTGTAATGTGGCCATGATGTGATGATGGACTGAAATAAGTTGAATTGGTTACCAATGTTTTGAAACAATGTGTAATAAGGGTACTGAGGTATTGGCCTTCCTCCACTGAAGATCCAATGCAAATTTCTTGTCATTGACTTAATGTAAGTTTAAAAACATAACATTGGTGGTTAAAGCTTAATGCTCTAGTGGTATTGAGTTTATATACTGAAATAGCTTAATTACAGTATTGATTTAAGTGTCAAAGAACACACGAGGATAGCGAGATGCAAGTCACATGAAAATATTTACAATATGTGAACCATTAGCATCCAAGAACATTTACAGATGTCTACCAAAATTTTCCATAATTCCAGCTAGAGTTTCTTGATGGATGCTGGTCACAGCAGCTGTAATTTATACTGAAGGCAACACAATAAAGTCAAAACCTCACAAGCCACATGTGTTCTTTGACACCAAAATCAATACTGTAAGTAAAGTATTTCAGTAGTTAAATGCAAATACAACTAAAGCATGAAAACCCTCTAATTTTTCACCTCATTTGGCACTTATAGTACAGTAGTCAATTTTATTTCTTGTTTTAAGCATGTTGTTTAGGCTACTGGGTGTCTGTATGAAATCACACAATTTTTATGAGCCTTTATATTCAGTAACTGTTTATGTCTACACCACTTACTATAAAAGGTTTTTTGGATTACAAATCCACATAGCAATCATCAGGACTTGAGAATCTACTCACATAAAGCACACATTTGCAAACAGACAATACATCAAGTACATCGCCACAGGATTTGGGAATTTGTTTTCTTGAGTGTCTAGATCGAATGGCATATTCATATCATGTCATGATTTTTAGAACTAGATGAGTGGTTAAACATTAACAATGTCATCAGTGTGGGTGATTCTAGTTTACATGTCTCATTCTTTCAATTGTACCACACCTAGTTTTACATTGAAAAGCTAATATTAAGTATTACTGTTAATAGTATAATTTATCTTTACATTTTGTAATCCTTCTATTCCACTATTGAACTTGCTACAGGTCTTGTAGACATGACAGAATTGTATGGTGTGTGCAGACTGTGCCCCACAAATTCCAGTTTTCTATGCAACTTGAAGAAATATATAATCAGTAACATTATTTGGAGAAATTTCTTGAAAATGAATACTGAATAGTGTTTTTGACTACAAAATTATTTCAAGTAGAAGAAATTCAACATTTATTAACTGTTGTCAGCACAGATAAAATACATATAGTATAAAAGTTCCAGTTATTGATGGGTAGAATAAATCTATCTCAAGTTGTTAAAATTTTAACATATTGAGCAATACAGGAATTTAACAAACGGAATTAACTATGTTAATTAAAGTTAAACCTTAAAATGGTAGAAGTTAAACAAATATCACTATCCTTTTTATCTGGTTTATATTACATTTTAATATTAACAAGTAAATTATTGTTAGTAATATTTACAAAGATCTTACTTTATAATAAAAAAATGCAATTTTTTATAGTGCCCACCATTTCTTGTTTTTACAAAAGGATAAAGAACAAACAGCAAAAAATAATTCATTTCTAATTAGTTAAAGAAATAACACTCAAAACAAATACAAAATATTTGTTTGTCAGTTTAGTCAACAACATGCAACTGTGAGGTTTTTGGTTAGTATACTGTTATTATGTTTTTAACTTAAGTAATAAATATTATTATTATTGTATGTTATAGAGATAAATCTTTTAGAAATTATAACTTGTTGATTTTAGAGTAATATATTTACATTGTCATTTTAAAATAATGTTCTTAAATGTTTTAAACCAACCAACCAGTCAATGCTTAGTAGTTTTGTCAGTGTAGGTTTTTGTATACAATGTATTGTTAGTATATTAACACATGACAATAGCACTGTTTTTGTTTTGTTATGTAGGGAATACCATACAAATATAGCTTAGTAGTACTTGTGTACTGTTATGTATCATACAGCATTTGAAATTATATAGAAATACTTTTTTGTTGTGCAGGAAACAGCAGGGTGGACTTAATTTAGTAGTACTAATACTATTCCAGTACATTATAAACAACTTTTTAGGTTAATATAGATCATTTTGTATTCTGTTATGTAAAAAATAGCATTGGAATTACTTATAGAGGTTAACTTTTTTATAGTGAAACAATAGGTAAAAGTTTAATTTGGTTTTTAAAAGTTTTCATAAACTGTTCCATTTACCATAATACTTATATTTCTATCAAGTAATTTCAAGAAGTATAGGGAAATGCTAATAGTTAATTTTTAAATTATTTTAACTCCAATATCATTACTTGAATCATAAAAACATTGGTTTACATTCTTTATGAATAATGATGAACTTATTTACTAGAATTGTAATGGAGCATTCTTTGATGGTAATAATGTATTGGTTTACAATCTTTTACTTTCAGGAATTTTCTATAGTTTCTGTTCGAATACCTGGAGATCAAGTTGGTATGTATATATGCTTTTTAATTTAAACTTTTTACATATGGGTGTTTTCCTTTCACAAGTATCATGATCTTGTAAAGTGTTAGGTTCAAAATTTAATTAAACAATTTTATTATCAATGTATTTCAGTAAACTTGACCTGGAAAATTAGTTTATTATTCAAGTTTTTCTATTATCTAAGTTTTAAATTTTTAGTTTCAAAAATAAATATTTCAAAGATAATCTTCCTTTTTCTGTGTCTGAGCTCCATTTTCTCCACTTTGGAATTATTTAACTTCAAAATTATGCTGCTGCAGTTTCCAATTACTTAGAAACAACCAGCAATAATTTAAAATTTCAACTTTCTACATTCTTGATTTGCTGAGATATCAATAAATTCTTCAAACCCACTAGAGAAGCCTCTTTATGACTTTGCGAGAACGTTTGATAATCAACTTTAAATAGCTGAAGAACATGTTTATAACCAGAAAGAAAGAGCAGGTTCTTCTGTATAGAAACTCTGAGACCAACCTTTGGAATTTGATGGGGGGAGTATTCACTTGATAGAAATGTATTGTCATGTGATGACAGTACTGTTGCCATGAATAACTTGTGGAATTTGTTTAAGCTATTTATAGCTTATTTAGAAATCTGGATAAATTATCAGTTTTAGGATACTTTTTCTTAGTAATTGATATAATTTTATGTTCTAAAATGGGTATTTGGAAACTACATGAATTATTTATTGGATTCCCAAATTTGTGAGACTTAACAAACATGAGTGCAAACCATTTTGATTATGCATTGAGTACTACAAATTCTAGATTTTTATATATATTTTACCAAATGTAACAAAAGGGTTAAAATTATAAACTTCTCACTAATTTTTTTTGGAACAGCAAGTCGGAAAAGTGTACATGCTATTGATGCAACTGGTAAATGATAATAAATAAATAATTTATTGTTTCTAAACATTAAACAATGCAGTTGCATAACTTCAATATATGATAGATATTCTCGTGTACAAAGTTTAAGATTAAAAAAGTAACTTAATTCTAAATTATTGTACCAGAACTCTTTTTGTTCTTTTATCACTTCATAAATGTTTTAAGAGATATAAATTTCAAAATGAAATTTTGTTAATTCTAACTGTATTTCAGTAATTTAAGCTCAAAAATATTTTAGAATGAATATTTTGACATTTTCTGACATTTATTTAGTATAATGCATGGAAAATATGAAAAAGAAAAGTTCATATTTGAATTTATGTACTGCTGTGAATAATTTTGCCTGTAAACAATGCACTTGTAGATTTCTTTTAAAATTTTTCTGCCCATCCCAAAGAATAACTTTATTTTTGATAAGAACCTATCATCCCCTGACAATATGCTATCTGTTTCTTGATTTTAAAGCAGTTCTTTTAATTTTTCTGAAGGCCTTGGTAGCCACCTTATTTTGGTACCATGTCAAGTGGTTTGATCATTTGCTAATGAAACATAGCTTTGAAAAACTATCAAGAAAGTTTAAACATGTTCGGATAGAGCAAAACTTAAAGTTATATTGTCATTGCACTGTAAATATATAGGTTTAAGAGTTTTTTTTTTGTTTTATTTTTAGTATTATGTAAATATTCCATTTATTTGTAAACTGAAAATATTTGTATGTTAAATATGTGTGTTTAGAGGAAAGAACAATATTACTTGTTTTATATTTTAACTGTACATTGATGTTTTATTTACTAACCAAAGAGCAAAGTATTCTGTTAGTGTTAGAGTAGAGAAAATATAAAATTTTACTAAAATAGTGATAACCATTTAATAATCATTTTGAATATTTTAAAGGTTATGTAAATGAAGTATGAAACTCTAAGGTGAAAAGAAATCCTTTTATTCTTTGCATGAAAATCACCCTTCACTCAGACTGGCTCTGACTCAATAAAGGCTTCAGAAATTCACAGACAAATCTTTATTGAAATAGTTTATTAAAAAGTTGAATTTTTTTGCATAAAGCAACCTTTTAATTTTTATAAAAAGCTTGCCAAATTTCTTAAACATACACCAAGTAAATTTAGAGTTATAGTATGTATAGTTTAATGGTCAGTCAAAATTACCAAGACTGCGTACAGAGAGTTAAAGTTATTGGTTTATACACTGATAAGTTTGTCTTCAGAAAATTGTTTATTGATGTGTTTTTTTTATCAGCAGAGAATGGAAACATTGGAGACCTTCCCAGTAGACGATTTAATGGTCCTAGAAGGTATGGTGAAATGATACGTTATTAATTGCTTAATATTATTACTAAAGGCAGTGTATGCATATGACAAAAACTGAAAAATTAAATTTTCATTGTTTATTTTGTGTAATTATTACAGTAAATGTTGTACGTTTAACATAAAAATCAGTATGGTTTAAGTTTTTATTTTTGCAGTGTTTTTTGATAGTAATTTTCACCAGGATGTGGCAGTAACACTCTTTCAAGAAAATCCATACTTTTTATGGGCAAGAATGGAGGAATATTTATTCATTACTGATAAAGATAGTGTTTAGCAGCCAGTGGCTTAACTTCTTGTAAGTTTATTTATTTTATCCAATCAGAGCTAGTTTTTCATCAAAATATAGTTGGATTGTGAAGCAATGATAAATTTTTAGGTAATGCTGAAACTTGTGGCCTTATTGTTGTGTCTCCATAATCAAGTAATAAATCTCAGACACCACCATTTGCTGTCTATACATATAAACAGCTAAATATTGTAGGTAAAAATAATCTTATCATGATTTTGTTTTCTTGTTTTAAATATGTACATTAAACTTTAAGTATAGGTAAAGCTGATTTTCAACCAGAAAATGTTTCTCTGAGTTTTCTTAATTCCATAAGCTTTTCAAAACAGGGAGGTTCTGATCAAAAATTTACCAAATAATGAACAAGTTCAATTGGTTTAAAAATTCTAGTGTACAGTACATTCATAGTATATAGGTATTAGCCCTCTAAACATGAATATCTTTTTATGTATTGAATTTTTATTCAGATCATTGTAGGAATCATATTGCATGTTAATACTGTTTTGTGTGCTAAAATATAACTGCTGAAAATACAGCATTATTTTCAGAATAAACGCATCTAATATTTTGTATTTTTAAAATTTGGAGAGAGAGTTATATTTTTGTTAACTGCCTCTTAAACAGCCATAGTGCAAAACTCTAGGTGTTTTCACCATTTATCAAACAATTTGAAATGTATACTTTGTGGAGTTGCATCGGCTGCTTTTCCTGACACGTTGTCTGATATCATGTATTAGCTGTACATTCATGTATACTCATAGGCCCACTCCTAAAATACACAAAATCAACACTTTGGGATCCAAGGATCTGTTTGATGATACCTTGTCCCAAATTATATGGGCCACCTAGTAAGATACATAACACTAACACTTTGGGGACACTGAGGCCTGTCTGATACATAGATTCAACTTGTGGTTCACTACTGAAAAGGACCAGCACAGAAATCTTTGAGGCCTCTCTACCTTACACATCTTCACCATAATATTACACAAAATAATCTGAAACCTAGTTTTACTTGTGTTGTGATTTAGAGTATTATTTTACTTACGTTTGGTTGAGATGAATGTAAACAAACATACATACTTTTCTCAGGGCTTTCATGGGCCTGAGTAAACTGTATGGTCTTGACATAACCCCTGTGTATTGTTAAGCTTGCCGAGTGTGATGCCTCATATAACTGTCCTATACAGCCAGTCCAACAGTTTAGCAGGTCAATGTTTAGTGTCTCGTGAACACAAAATTGAAAGTGGAATGGTGTACATCCTGTCTTATGGAAGAAGCACATACAAATAATATTGTCAACTTCCAACTGCAGGAAGAAAAAGTTCAAGTTCACAAGCATATCCAAATATCTTTGTCTATTAACTCAGTCAGTGAGATGATATTGTTTTCACTCATGCTAAGTCATCCAGAGATGTTTATGCCTTTGGTTAATTACATTGTTGAGTGGTGCCAATGCATGATTAGCTTGGTGTAATTGGTGTTGGACAAAAACAACATACAATATAAATTCCATATAAAACATGATTGTTTGTGCTTTCTGAATAGTCATCATTTGAGAGAATCAAGAGTCTTAGTTTAAACCATGAACTGGTGAGATTGAATTAAACTTATGAGTTTTTAAGTCAACATATATTGTACTGTATGTGTTATTTTTCTTCATTTATATAGTATTACATTTTAACTTTGGCACAACAATTTCTAGACACTTTGTATTAGATGTATCAAAATGTAGACATACTCATGACTGCCTTATTTCACTGCAGACAGAATACTAGGAATGGAAATGAAATTAGAAGAGAAACCTAAATGGTAGAAATTGAGAAAATAATAGGAAAATCTGTAAGAGATAAATAAAAATAACTGTTTTAAGATTTGTTTCAATAATTTTATGCTAAAATATTTTATACCAGAATGCTGTGAAATTTGTTTATGCTGTTAGTTTGAAGAAACATCTTATATTTTTTACAAACCTTATATATATGTATGTTGTATATAATGTAGCTTTCTTCCCCGACCTGTGTCCTCAGTCTCACCTCCAGTAAAGAAATTAACTGGCCTTCCTCCTTCAATAAAGGCAGGCAATGCATTTTCACCTTGTCGACCATCTACAACTCTTCATCTGCCTTCCACTGCTCTCTCTTTAGTTCCAACTGATATCTCTACTACAACCAGCAGGCCTTCTCAACCATCTGAACTCATCCCAGTCACATCAAAAAAGGATGCTTACCAAAAAATTGAGCATAGTCTTGAAGAGGTAGAGAGTAGTTCAAAGGGCTTCCAAACGAAAAATGCTGCCTCAGTTATCCAAACTGAAAGGTCTTCTCCATCAACGTTGCTGCCTCAATCACTCAAGGTATAAAACTTAATGGCTGCAAGCTAGATACTTCTTTTATGTGCTTTTAAAAGAAATTTTTAATGATAAGTTTTTATAACATTTGAAGTTTTAATATCACCTGACATATTTGTATACCAGTCTTCCTAGCTTATTAGTAAGATTTAAAAAAAGAAAAAAATATATATATATTTCTTCAATAATGCTGAGAGCTTTAAACATCTCTTGCAAATTATTACTTTGTACTAGTGAGATTATTTCTGTTTGTATTTTTATTTTACAGCACTTTTGCTTATTTTGACTTTCATATTTTCTTGCAGCTTTAGAAAGTACCTGTCATGGATAACTGTAGACCAGAGTTCTTGATTTATATTATATTCATTAAAATTTGTATGTATATTGATTATAGTTGTGTATAATCACAAGCAAATATACTTGCACTTTGCATGACATTTATTTGAGTACAAATACTTGATTAGCACATTTGATTTTTTAGGTGTACAAAAGACCTGTATTGTTCTGTAAAAGCTTGCCAAATTTCATGAAGATACATGTAGTAAGTTTGAAATTATATTCAACATTACTTCTGCAGTAGGCAATTGGTCCAATTAACTCTTTCAAGATGGGGGTTGGCCGATTTGACTGACCACATGACCTATTTGTACTTGTTTAAAATCTTTATAGATTTAATACTTCTAACTTTCAATATGGTGTGTATATCTTCACAAAATTTGGCAGTCTTTTTAGTTAACATTACAAGTCTTTCACATACAAAAAATTATATTTTTAGTGAAGTATTTTTAATAAACTAAAATAAAGATTTGTCCATTTGAGTATATGTTGTGAATAGTCCATGTGCAAAGTAATTTTCATATTAAGGTTAAAAATCTTTTTCTTCATTTCAGAAATCTCAAATTTCCATTGTGTAATCCCTAAAACCTCCTAAATGCATTTCAAACTTTTTTTTCCAATAAAACTTTATATTTCATCTGTTATTTTATCTACCCTAATCTATATGAGATTGGTCAATTTGACCAACCTCATAATCACCAAAAAAAAATTTAATTAAATCTAAATTACTCTTTTTTTTTTTTCCTTTCTAGAATAACTTCAAATTGTAACATGAAACTACATTAGTTTATCCTAAGTAGGTTTAAGCTTGTAACAGTATACATAATTAAATTTTATTGTTTTGTTGCCCTTTTGATTGACCATTGAACCATGTCTAACTACTGTCGGTGCTATAATATGTTGTACATCACTTGGGCCATGTGCAGTTAATTTAATTTCCTACTTTTTCAAGGAGTGTTTGACAAAATAGAGATGACAAGAGACTTAGAGAAAATATGTCACACTAGGGGAAGTTCAAGATTTGTTTTTTATTTTCTTATTAAATTAAGAACTTAAAACTTATATACTATTAAAATATGGATTATTAGCTACGATTTTATGCTAATTTATTATACTAATTGGTATAACGTAAACAAAAAGTAGTTTAATAAAATTCTGAATGTAAGACACTAAAATATTGTGTCATACGCGATAATACCCAGGGCGAAAGGGTTAAAAAAATGAGTTGGTGCTAGTTTCATAATTTTGTGTACCACTAAATTATCAATGTATGTTAATATACATCTGTTATGATCATTACGATGTCAAATGTTTTAGTAATATAATAAAATAAAACAAACAACAGGTCCTTCAGATCTGTGCACAAAGGTGTTTCAGAGCTTAATTTGGATTTATATGTTGTAGTTTGTTTACTTAATGTACTAATTGTTGTAAATTTTGTAATGCTAAACCGTTGCATTAACTTGCTGTTGTGCTTAGAATTTGCTATAATTTGGATTTTATTCACTAGGAAACTTACTATTGATATCACACACGTGTGCACATACACATTAGGATAACAGTGTTTAAAGTGACTTACTTAGAACAACTGACTTTAGGTGGCATACACTAAAAGTAGAAAAGTCTATACTTTGAAAAGTATGAAAACATTAAAGCTGTAATTTTTCTTTGCACTAGCAGAGAAAAACAAATCAAAACATAGTAAAATAAAAAAGTCATCCCAAGTGTGAAAACATGTCACAAGTCCCCCAGAATATGAATTATCAACTTAGGGATTAAAAAAAAATGTGTAAAAGATCTGGTAGCATCAGAACTTTTAATATAGTAATTGTTTTTGTAAAGCAAAATAAATTGCACATTCTTAAATGTGTGGAGTGTAACAGGATTTTTAAATAGTAAAAACAACACTCATCACTTAAGCTTACAAATTGTAAACAAAAGTTTGATGTAATAATTGAATTTTTGTAGACTTTCAATCAATGATGTCTTCTTAGGTGAAGTGTGTTTTGTTTACTTAAGATGGAAGTTATCTCAAATAACAACTTTCTGTCTTCTGTATTATCCCAATGTACTGTTAGATAGTCACACAAACACATGCACATATACACACACACACACACACACACACACACACACACACACACACACACACACACACACACACA